AAATAAATAAAGTGGCGGTGCCAATCCAGGGAGGAGAGAAATGAGATCTTCAGGAGCTCCACAACTCTCGATCTAGGGCCCCCTCCCAAGCGGTCACACCCCAGGACCTCAGCGGGGAGGACGGAGACCGGCAGCTGCCCAGCCCTTAGACCCCCTCCCAGCCACTCTGTGTAGCCCCAGGACAGCCCACAGACCCTCTGTGCAAACCTCAGCACTAAGCACCCCCACACCAGGTCTCCAGTCACTAGCTCCCCACCACCTCCCTTCAGCTGGATCCAAAGAGCCACCCAGATCCTAAAGACAGTTCCTTGTGCCTACTCCCAAGGAGAGCCCCGCCGCCCCTCCCCTGAAGATCCTTCTCTTCTGCTAGGAAGTTCTGCTCTCAAACTGACATCCTTTCTGTGTCCATGGCCTTGCTCACCTCTTTCCTAGGCCTCCTACACTTTATGTACCCTTTATGTATCCTGTATCCTTTGCCCAGACTCTGAAGAAAAGAAGGCAGAGGTCACAGGTGGGCAGGAATGCGGTCTCCATGCAGCAGCAAGGAAAGTGCCAGGCCCACTCTGCCAGCTGGACTCAGCCACCTTCTCTGGGCCAAGGAGACTTCCTGGAACCTGTTTGCTCCCCCCCCCCCCAACCACAAGGGCTTCTGAAAGTGGATCAGCCCAAGCCCCACCCCAGGCCCCTGGCCAGTGTCAGGGGCTCACGTCCTGGCAGCAGTGGGGTAGCCCAGACACCAACTAGACCATCCTACTCCTGAGAGCCTGAGGAAACAGGGAGATGGTGACTTGTGTTAAACTCTTAAGTTTCAGGACCTTCCTGGTGGCGCAACGTGTTAAACACAGCACTATGAAACTATCTGCAGCCACTGCAGCACGAGTTCAATCCCCAGCCAGGGAGCTGACCCACAGGGCACAGCAGACCTCTCCTGTCCCGCCCGCTGCTCCCCTCAGCCGTGTATTTCAGTCCATCTGCCTGTTCTGCTCCCCACTCTGTCCCTGGTGAATCCTCTCACCACCACCCCCACTCGGCACCTCTGGCCTGTACCCCAGTTCTTGAATGCATAAATAAATAAATCTTTAAAAATAAATAGTCTTAAGTTTCACTTATTTATTCATTCAAGTCTTCTAGAAGTCAATGGAAAAAGATGCCTTTCTAACGATGACTGTCTGTCATGACTCCTCTTCCTTCTCCACCTTGCTGCATCAAGGTCGCTGGCGGCCAGAATTATCCCCACTTCTGAGAAGCCTATCCTGCCACCTCACTGTGACCCATTACACTGCCTGGGTTTTTGTGCTTCTTCCTCAACCAAGTCCCTGTCCCTGGGCTTCTCCCCAGCTCAGGGGTCCTTTCAGAACAAATGGGTCACATGTTTAAGGGGCAAGCAGCAGCAGTTGAGTTCCAGACCAAACTGAGGCTGTGGGGGTAGGGGAGGAGGGTGGTGGCCCCTGGGGTCCCCTGGTTCACTTTTTCCAGAGCCTGATGCCCTCAGACACTGCAGCAGGCGGTGAGAGGAAATGAGCTCACACAGGCCACAGGCGAATTCCTCCCTCCACAATGCAAGGCACTCACCCCCTCCCACTTCCCAGAAAGTGTGCTCTTCCCCCACCCTCCAGCCTCCCCACCTCTTCCTGCACCTTGACCTGAACCCCCATCCTGTCCAGGCCCTCCCCCATCATCTTTGCCAGCCCCTCTTCCTCCCACCCTCCCCATTTTGTCCCGGATTCCTATTCCCTCTGACTCCCATTCTCACTCCCTGCACACCACCATCACCCCAGAAGCCACTCTATTTCTGGCCCCCTTTCTCTGAAGCCACTTTGGGGTGGGCTCAACCTCCTGACATACCCTCTCTTTCTAAACTCATCCCCACCCCATCAGCTAACTCCATTCACAGATGCTTATTGGAAGCCCCAAGGTAGGAGAAGATGGGAGAGCATGAGGGGTTGCCAGGCAGTTTGCCCCTGGGGAGACAGAGCTAAGGGGGAGGAATACCAACTTAGGTCTCCAACCTGAGATTCCAGAAAAGAAGCAATGGAAGACGGAGGAAGTAGAGGAGGCTTCCAGAAGGAGGGGCCTTGAAGTGTCTAGGGCTCTGTGGATGGGTGGGGAGAAGTGTGTATGTGGTGGTGGTGGGGGGGGACATTCCAGGGGAAAGGCCTGTCTGGTGGACTAAGGCAGGGAGGCTGGAAAACAAACTCCAGTGATGATGTGACTGAATCCAAGCAGAGGGATAGACGTGGGCAGGAAGCTTGGAGGGATGAGGAAGGAAATGGGGTGGCCTGAGGCTCTTAGATACTAGCCTGGCTTGGAGCAGGGTGTTTAAGCTAAGGTGTACCCGGTCCAGAAGCTGGAAAAGAAAAGGATAGAGCTGGGGCAGGGACCCAACATCAGAAGCCCCGGACTCGGAAACCCAGTGGCTGCTGGAAAAGGACTAAGAAACGTCTAGAACAACTCTAAGGTTTCTGGCTTAAAATGTTAGGAAGACAAGCTGTCTTAAGAGTTCACCCTCTGGGAGAGAAGCTAGACAAGCACACAACAAGTTCTTTGTGTGCATTTTCCAGTTTAGCCTTCAAAGGGGCTAGGGGATCAATATCATAATCCTCATTTTACACAGAATGAACCTGAGTGTATCTTATCCAAGGCCACACTGAATTTGAACCCAGGCATTTGGTTTCCAGAGTCCACTCACTTGACCAGAGGGCCTTGTGGCTGATGGAGTGGAGGGTGGCAACTTAAGTCCTGGACCCATCTCCTGGAAGAGAGGCCAGAGCCAGAAACATGGCTTTGGAAGTCATCAGAGGTCCAGGAGGGTGACAGTCTGGTCTGCCAAGTGAGATGAGACCAGGCATGGGACACGCCCCGGAAATGCCCACCTTTAGGGGGCAGGTGAAGGAGAAGAAGATGCAGAAGAAGCAGCATTTGGAAGAAATGGGCACTGTGTCAGGCAGACAAGACACTTCCAGGGGCCACACAGGGGCCTGCGAGGAGAAGCATCAGGGGTGAGGGGAGGACTAAGCCCCTAAAGGAGGCGGCAGGAAAGGCAGGTTGTGTAGCACAGGGGAACCTGTAAGGTACATTGCCATTGGGGGGGGGGGGGACTTGAGCAGGTTTTTTGGTTGAAGAGCAGTTACCAAGGGGTAGGGAGCCCGGGGACACCAGGAGGAGGTGATGTGTGTAGGGGATAGCAAAGGTACCAGAGTCTGTGGTACAAGAGGAAGACACCCATTTCCCCAGGGGTCATGCCAGGCTAGGAAGAAAGCACAGGGCGTGACTAGTGGGGGAGTCCCCAGACCAGAGCCACCCAGGGCAGAATCAGCCCTGACCCAGGAACCAGAGAGGAGTGTGGAGTCATCAAGGAGCACTCCCCAAGAGTGAGTTTCCACTCCCATCCCGCCTACCTGGGAGGAAAGGCACATCTCTGAACCTCAGTTTCCCTGTAAGATGAAAACTATCAGACCTGCTCAGTGTGCCTCAGGTTTGGAGTTCGTTTCTGATCATGCATTAAAACAATTGTGAGTTGAAGAGGAAAAACATTGGGTGAAAGGTGGCTCTCCCGTTTGCAACCCAAGCAGCATTCTGGCCCTTCCACCGGAGGGGAACTAGCACCCCCTGGTGGCGAAGAGCAGAACAAGAGGGGAGGGTCAGAGCCGACCGACCTGTTTTAACAGAAGAAATTATCACAGCGATGGAGGCTGGAAAATCCAAGATCAAGGTGCTGGATGATTCATTTCCTGGTGAGAGCCCTCTTCTTGTTTGCAGATGAACACCTTCTCACTGTTCTCAAGGCATAGAGACAGCCTCTCTCTGTTTCTCTTACAAGAGCACTAATCACACCCAAGGGTGCCAACCTCATGACCTAATTATTTCCAAAAGACCCCACCTCCAAATACCACGAATATGGGACTAGGTCTTCAGCCTATGGGGAGGTGGGATGAAGCATTCAGTTCAGAGCACATGCATGTCTGTAACGTAGACCTGACACCTCTGGCTTCCCGAACAGGGGACTCAGCTCAGTCATGAAACACTGAGCGCCCACGACATACAAACTGTGGTGTGTGGTGCTGGGCACAATTCCATGAACCAGGTGCCGTGCCTGCCCTTGGCAAA